GGCAGGGTGAGGGGCAGGTGTGTGGGGGGGTGAGGGGCAGGTGTGGGGGTTGGTGAGGGGCAGGTGTGAGGGGTGGGTGACGATCCTGCACAAAGGCCCCACCTTGGCTCTCCCCGCCTGTGTCCCAGGGGCAGTGAAGCGCAGTGTGTGGGCCCGGGCAGCTCCCCAGGCAGTGGCTGAGGGCCAGTGCCTCTGTTTCCCCCGGCTGCTCGAAGGATGGCTGGCATCCCCTGGTGCAGCATGGGAGCTGCGCTGGCCTGGGAAGATCTTGAGAGTCCTGCTGTGACTCCTCTCCCTGCCAGGACCTCTGAGAACGAGGAGGGGCAGGAGGGGAAGTGGTCGGCTGCTCAGCCATGGGGCGAAGCAGCCCAGTGTTCAGCTTGCTGGTCCCGGCCTGCCCTGGGGTCGCCTCAGAGGCGTCGTACCGGGGCTGTGTCGCTGGGATAGGGTGGAAGGGGCGTCCTGAGGCTCCTGAAGGGCCCCTGGGTCCAGCCTCCATCTGTCCCGGTGGATGTGCTTCTTCTCTAGGTCAGAGGCCCCCAGGACTCCTCGGGGCCTAGGCTGGGGAAGTGCTTCTTTCCCCACCTCCAAGGCAGCAGTTGCGGTGCCCAGGCGGAGGCGTGGAGGGTCTGCAGTGTCGCCCCCTGCCCCCCACCCCGGCTCCTGCTGGCTGGGAAATAAATGCGGAAGTCAGAAAAAGAAGCATGGAAGCCTTTATTTCTGGTAAGGCTGGGTGGGGGGCTGGCCTCCTCTCCTCCGCCCGGCTGCTGGGGGTTTGGGGGCCTGCTGGTGACCGGGCCGGCACTGAATGGACAGGGTCTTGTGCCCAGGCCCATCCCACAGAGAAGTCTCCTTGGCCATGGTTTGGAGACACAGCCAAAGGACAGTCAGGCTTTCTCTCCGTGGCGGTGTGGGCCGGGCAGGGAAGGCTTCCTGGAGGAGGTGTCATTGTCCCCTAAGAAGCTCCGTGGGGCCTGGTCACTGCCTCTGTGTTGGAGCTGGGTGGGGCTGGGCCCTCCAAACTCTGCTGCAGCAGTGGGAGGACATTGGGGTGAGGGGTGCGGTGGGCCGAGGGTGCAGAGGGGCAGGGACACTGGGGCGGGGGTCAGTGGGAGGACCGCAGGGCAGGGGGGTTGTTGGGGCAGAAGTTGGCGGTGGAGCAAGGGGGATGGACGGTGGGGCCGG